TTTGGCTCCATTTCCAGGAACTTAGGCTGTATTTCCCAGTCCTAGGGTCTCTAAAGTGACTCTTGCTGGCCTTGGTTTGCAGTGAAATGGACAGGGGTTACATAGTTAAACGCTCGGTTTCGAGCTTGCTAGCCAAAACATAGCCCCTATTAATTTTAAGACTGAAAAAGTAGCCGGGACCGCCTTACGCGCATCGTGATGATGACCAACTTTGGCTCGATTTCTAGAAACTTGGAGGGATATTTTCCAGTCCCAGGGACTCTAAGCTAGCTCGTGATGGCCTTGCTATGCAGTGAAATGGACAGGGGAAAAATAATTGATCGCTCGGTTTCGAGCTTGCTGGCCGAAATATAACCCCACTTAATTTTAAGACTAAAAAAGTAGCCGAGACCGCCTTACGCGCAACATGATTTTAACCAACTCTTGGCCGATTTCCAAGAACTCGGGCGCTATTTCCCAGCCCTAAGGACTCTAAACTAACCCCAGAAGACTTTGGTTTTCAGTGAACTGTACAGGGGAAACACTTTTGAACGCTTACTTAGGAGCAATCTGCCCGAAATATTAACTCCCTTAGTGACGATGACTAGAAAGTGGCCGGGACCGGCATACGCGCAACGTGATTTTCACCAACTTTGAGCCGATTTCTAGTAACTTGGGCGATATTTCCCAACGCTAGGGACTAAAGTAATTTTAGACGTCTTTGGTTTTCAGTGAAATGGACAGAAGAGAAGTTTTTGAACGCTTAGTTAGTAGCAATCTGCCCGAAATATTAACTTCCTTATCGACTATGACTAAAAAGTGGCCGAGACCGGCCTTCGCGCAACGTGATTTTAACCAACTTTAAGCCGATTTCCAGTAACTAGGGCGATATTTCCCAGCCCTAGGGACTATAAGCTAATTCCAGAAGACTTTGGTTTTCAGTGACATGGAGAGAAAAATTATTAACGCTTACCTAGGAGATATCTGCCCGAAATATTAACTCCCTTAGTGACTATGACTAGAAAGTGGCCGGGACCGGCCTGTGCGTAAGGTGATTTTCACCATCTTTGGGCCGATTTCCAAGAAGTTGGGCGATATTTCCCAGCCCTAGAGACTCTAAGCTAACCGACGGTGGGCTCCTTTTGCCTGTGTCAATTTCCATGAAAACTAAGGCCATCAGGAGTTAGTTTAAAGTCCCCGGGAGTGGAAAATATCCACCAAGTTCCGGCATATCGAGCCAAAGTTGCTCAAAATAACGATGCGCGTAAGGCGGTCTCGGCTATTCTTTCAGTCTCAAAATAAAGTGGGGCTATATTTCGGCCTAGAAGCTCGACACCGAGCGTGCGCTAGTTTTACCTGTGTCTTTTTCACTGAAAACTTACGCCATCAGGAGTTAGTTTAGAATCTGCAGGACTGGAAAATATCCCCCAAGTTCCGGCAAATCGAGCCAAAGTTGCTCAAAATCACGATGCGCGTAAAACGGTCTCGGCTACTCTTTTGGTCTTAAAATAAAGTGGGGGTATATTTCGGCCTAGAAGCTCGACACCGAGCGTGCGCTCCTTTCACGTGCGTCCATTTCACTGAAAACTAAGGCCATCACGAGTTAGTTTAGAGTCCCCGAGATTGGAAAATATCCCCCAAGTTCCCCCAAATCAAGCCAAAGTACCTCAAAATCACGATGCGCGTACGGCGGTCCCGGCAACTCTTTCAGTCTTAAAATGAAATATAGCTATATTTCGGCATAGAAGCTCGACACCGAACGCGCGCTTCTTTTACCTGTGTCCATTTAACTGAAAACTAAGGCCATCATGAGTTAGTTTAGAGTCCAGGAGACTGGAAAATATCCCCTAAGATCCCGCAAATCGAGCCAAAGTTGCTTAAAATCACGATGCGCGTAACGCGGTCTCAGCTACTCTTTCAGTCTTAAAATGAGTGAGGGCTATATTTCGGACTAGAAGCTCGACACCACGTTTGCGCTCCTTTCACCTGTGTCCATTTCACTAAAAACTAAGGCCATCAGGAGTTAGTTTAGAGTCCCCGGGACTGGAAAATATCCCCCAAGTTCCGGCAAATCGAGCTAAAGTTGCTCAAAATCACGATGCGCGTAAGGCGTTCTCGGCTACTCTTTTAGTCTTAAAATAAAGTGGGGCTATATTTCGGCCTATAAGCTCCATACCGAGCGTGCGCTCCTTTTATCTGTGTCCATTTCACTGAAAACTAAGGACAGCAGGAATAACTTTAGAGTCCCCGGAATTGGAATTTATTCCCGAAGCTCCAGCAAATCGAGGCAAGGTTGCTTAAAATCACGATGCGCGTAAGGCGGTCTGGGCTACTCTTTCAGTCCTGAAACAAAGTGGGGCTATATTTCGACCTAAAGGCTCGACACCGAGCGTGCGCTCCTTTTACCTGTGTCCATTTCACTGCAAACCAAGGTCATCAGGACTTAGTTTCTAGTTCCCGGGACTAGAAAATATCCCCCAAGTCCCGGGAAATCAAGCCGAAGATGGTCAAAATCACGATG